TGGTTTCCACAGAATCACTCCCTTCCCCTGCATTTTGCTCTATATTGCATGTTGCAGTGGATCTTGGCTGCCATGATACTCGTTTCATGCCAGCTTCTGTCCTTTCCAGTGACTATTGCATGCAGCATTCAAACATCAATATTTACAACAGTTAACTCAGAAAAGTTTTTCAGACAAAGACTTTGATTGTTCAGTCTCTTTCACATGTGTCTCAAACCTAATTCTGCTATCTTCAGAAGCACAGAAACCAAGCCTGTTGCAAGCAGTAACCAACTGCACTGACCCACTACATCTTTTGATATATTCATCATTCAGAAGCGTCAATATTGCTTGAAGAACAGACAGTTGTTTAAATGAGCGTGTTTGTTTTGGTAATTGATAATGTTTAGAAGGTGAAAATTAGGATCTTTTAAATTGTCCGTAATTCCATAATTTGGGTGAAATCATGGGCTTTCAACTAGAAGGGTAGGCAACTTCCCATATTTCATACATAAGCATTGCCTTTGGGTTTTCAAAATTGGAGAATGTACACATTCCAAGAAAATCTTATTTTATCCTTTCATGGATGATTTAAATAAATAACTCAAAAATAAAAACATGATTATCTACATACATCTTGATGATTTAATAAAAAATGGAATTCATCATAATTATGACAATACAGAAAGTGAACATTCTCCCACAAATTATGATTTTATTGGAATGTGTTCTTGAATAATTACCCACAATGCAATACTCGAAGAAAATATCTTGATATCTCTTATTCTTATTGGTCTTTTTTGTTTACTCTTACATGCGATGGTATATATCTTATGCTTTAATCATATTGAAAATTGATTTTCATTCAAACTAATACTATTCATTTATCTAATACTTTTTGAAATATAACCATAAAAGGGGAGCATGGCATTGCTCATTTTTAAGGTCTCATGTTATTACACATACAGTACACATCATGCCTAAGATCACATCGGCATGCTCCAATCGGCGAGTCGATAGGCGCGTAGTCGGCAGGCCGATCGGCACGTCGATAGGCACAGGTCGGCACGCCGATGGGCCTTGCCATCGGCACAGCAAAGTACTGCCGATCGACACAGTCATCGGAACCGCATTCCCATCGGCACTATCCATCGACTTCGTCGTGAGAATTACGTGTATCAACACATTACATTGCTCATCGCCAAGACGATAATATTTCGATTTACATTTAAAATTCGTGAGACATTAACCCGGGGACATTAATCCACACAGTTTAATGTAATATATCGCTATTAACGTCCCACGGATTTAAATATTTTTTACAATCTATGTCGTCGCACGGGGTAACTGAATTAAATAAACTGGCTAGATATTAAACGAATGATGGGATTCTACGACTAAAAAGATGTTCATGTACATTGAAAAGTGGACAATTCATTTGTTTGAGTAAGTTTGAGTAAAAAGAATATTTATCGAGACAGATTCTGCCAAGTGGGGAGAGGGTACAATTTCGAAAGCTCAAGAGAAAGCAAGTTCAAAATATTTGTTTTTATTCCCCGTGTCTCGCCGAAACTGCATTCCCATCAGCACCTATCAAGACTGTCCATCGGCGTAGTCGTTGGAACTGTCAATCAAAACTAAACATTGCTTGGTACAACCCTTCTAAAAAGCCTCCCATCGGACATTATTTCAACTTGACATGATTTAGCAAAGGACGAATTTCCATGATTAAAATGATCGTGTTGTATTTCGTACCTTCAACAATTATTATAATAAAGGAATTATTGAAAAACAGTATGATGCCAATGATGGGCAGTCATTGAAGCCTGTGATGAAAGTCTTATCATTGTGCGAATCATATTGAAATTAATCTCATTCCGCGGGTCTCATTCAGCAAACAAGTATTAATATACGCTACGTTAGATAATAAAAACACGAAATAGTTTAGTGTTTCACAGTCTTACAGAACGACGATTTAAAATTGTTGCTTGGAGCCAACATGATCAACAAAATTTCTTAACTATTGTAAGGAAT